GATGATGGTGCTGCAGGCAATGTTGATAAGTTCCATACTCCTATATCATGTGTGTGTGTGCGCGTGATCTGTGTATGGCCCTTACATGCAGTTCAAACACCACCGAAGATGCCAAACAAATGTTGAACCAGTGAGCTGCACTTCTTCGTCATGCAGCCCTATTTGTTCAATTCCGAACCTTGCACCCTAAGCCCAACCTGAATGTTCGAGATTTTTCGACTCCTGAATCGTGCGCAGTGTACAAGAAGGAACCCGAAAGGCGCCATCATGCAATATCCCCAAGGGTCCAAGTACCTAATAATCATATAATCTCCAAAATCCTAACCTACATAACTACTATCCTAAAGCCGAGTACCTAATTATTGGGTTCTTTGGACCCTTGGGGTAACAAGAAGAACCAAGTCAACCCTGTCAAGTAGATTGGGCTTTGGGTCTAGCTGGACCCATAAAGTATCTAGAAGAATAGCCTTTTAGAGGTATTGGGCGTTTGTTTTACCTGCTTTTGGGGGGTTGAGGCAGAGTTGCGATAATGATGTCAAACAGCGGAGCCCTTTTATTTCCTAGGTTATTGGGCAGCCTAGTTAGCTGTTTAAGCTTCCTGCTCTTGGAGTTCGATAGTTACAGTAGAAGCCAGAAAGTTGGAATATCATTATCGTAACCCCTTCAAGGTAAATTATAGGGGATCCTACCATTAATCCATATTCCAACTTTCTGGAGTTCCCTGTAAGGTGTTAAGAGTGTTTGGGGTTTTCAGGGGGTTCGGGATCTGGTTCACGGCTTTGGAATAATCCCCAGAATCTGTAGAAGAAGCTCCCCTCAGAAGGTGGCACTGGCCTCGTGGCACGGGCTAGTGGAGTTGCGAGGCAATTTTGGGCGGGCATGCGAGTTGAGCTTAACCGCCAAGACCAGCATCGGATATTTGAGTTTCAGGTTTCCTTGCACCCTAAACCGTAAAACCGTAAGCTCCGAGGCCCCAAACCATAAATTCTTCGAGCCTTTGGGATTCTTCGGATTAGAACGGGTTAGGGCTCTTGGTCCTTCTGAAAGGGCTGATTCCCAACTACCTGTAGTCCGTTTCTTTCTTGGCTACCTTGGCTAGTCTATTGTGGAATCGTAAAATCCAAGCAGCACATGAAGCCAACCCAAAAAGGCAGCAAATTGGAGAGCAACAATGACACCTACTCCTTCTACCGTAGACAGCTTTAACTAAACTCCTTTAAGACGTTTTGCTGTGAAACCCTGTACCTCTGTCTGAGGCCTTCCAAACTGAATTCCGCAAGCATTCTCCCTTTGCTGCAGCGTTTGTTTTGCAACACACGCCTGAAGCTCTGCCCAGGAGAACGCGAGTGCAGTCTACCTCGACTCTGAATTTCAATTCCTGATTCGATGCAGAGTTTACGGCTTATAACTCTCCGAGCTTTGATGAAGCCGAAACAACATCTGCCTGCCGTCTGGCTCCTGCTAGGAGCTCTCAACCGGTCAACCCTGAAGTTGGATTCTTAATCAGGCCTTCCCTGGAGTAACCAAGTTACTTAAAGAAGTACATGGCATTTGCCAAAGGCACATAGATTACTCCAAGACCAGTTTAACTCATGAAGCCTTGAGCATTGCCCCATGGCTCTGAAGCGATGTTCTAAAGTAAAGGCTCGATACTGCTGATGGGCTAAATCCTGCATTACCCATTATTATAAGGAACATACCATAGTTCCCATAGTTTAGAGTCCTTAGGGTCAAGTCAGGATTTTGTCCATCAGCAGCGTGGTGAAACTAAGGCAGGGTTCGGTGTACCGAAAACCGTTCCAGAGCAAGAAGCAAGTGTACCGCCAACGCTACATCCCTACAACACCCTGCCTAGTGTAGCAAACGAGGCGCATGGGACTCGCTGCCACGGCATTCCAGACCAAACTGCTGGGGGCCCTGATCCTGTGGGGCTGTGAATCATTACCATGCAATATTGTTCCTTAAGGTGCCTTCTTTTGTATATACTACAATGTATAATGTATGCCAGAGCCCTATTCCATGTACTAATGCCCCCATACGGCACATGGGGATGTGCGTTTCGGGTCTGACAGTAACTAACTAGTTGAGGCTTAGGGTTTAGGGTTTAGGGAGATTCTGAGATAGTGCGGCATTCTTACATGCCCCCGTTAAGAGCGAAGCGCTAATCCCTAAGATGGGATCCTCACACCCAGACTCTTGAGCTGAGTTGACGTTGCTTGGGGGTCGGGGGACTTAGTAAGTAGTTAGTAAGTAGACTTATAAGTACCCTAAAAGGGACCCTATTTGGGGTTATGGTACTTATAAGTCCCTAAAATAACCAGATACTAAGTCCCCCGACCCTCCAAGTGGCATGTTTGGAACGCAGGGCTTTGTTTTGGGGTTTACGTGTAGGGCAGTCTACGGAAATCCTGAACGGATACTGCGTCTTCGAGGGATTCTAGTCATTCTAGTCTTCTTTTCCAAAAGGGCGGAGCTTCGCAGAAGGACAGGCGCGATTGTTTTGAGCGGCCGTTGGCTCCAAACGTCTTGTCGAAACGGAATGATGTGTTCCAAACTGCAGCTACTACGTAAGCCCCCAGACCTGAAATCCTAAACCCCAGCATTCCACATCCTAAGTAAGCCCCAAACTCCAAGCCTTAAGCTAAAACCCAAGCTCAAGATTTTTAAATCCGAAAACATCACTATTTAAAGGGTCATGGGACTTAGTACCTAGGGTTAAAATTAGGGTAACTATACTTAGAAGTACGTAATAACCCCAATTAAGGTACTTATAACCGTTATAACCTTACTTACTAAGTCCCATGATCCTTCAAGTGAGCCTCAGGAGAAAGGAGGCTCCTAAACCCACCAGCCCTTCGGTCGAAGGATGGAGAAGCCGCCTCTGGTTCGGCAGCGCCGGCGCTGGCACCTCTGAAATGTGTGAAAAAGAGGTGTTTTTTTTGGAGGGGGGGGGGGGGGCTGTGGGTCTTAGAGGTTTGGGGTTTGGGGCGGTAAGGGCTTAGATCGAGTGCTTAAAGGAGAAGCCAGAAAGTTGGAACATCAATGGGTCACCATCCTCATACCCCTAATGTAGGTAATGTATAAGGGATCCTGACGCTAATCCAAGTCCATGTTCCAACTTTCTGGGGTTCACTGCAAGGTGCTCAGCGTGCTTAGGGGCTTAGGGTTTAGGCTGTGTCTCGCTAAACCCTAAACCCTAAACCTAAACTGTACTAAAACCCTAGAACCATAAACCCTGAATCCTACTAAACCCTAGAACCCTAAACCCTACTAATTGTTTAGGGTTCAGGCTGAAAGCCTACGAAGCCCCACATGCATGATGTTTGAAGTATTCTAATGGCCGGAATGAATACCAACGTTATTTAGGGTTAGAATGTTTCCCCAAACCCTATTGCAATCATTAATTAAGGCCCCTACATTATGTGGTTTAGGATGTATGTCCATGTTTGAGAAGCTTAGGGGCTGGAACTCTGCGGCTTGGTTCCCGTCCCGCATATTGCGCAAGCCCAGAGCCTTCAAGTGTTTAGGGTTCCGGGGTTCAGGGTTTGGGGTTCAGGGTTTAGGGATTTTAGCTCCGAATTTCTATGCCTTCTATACCCTAGCCTTTCTGCGCTCCAACCCTTCGCAACTGCTCCGGTCTCGTGTGCTTCTTACTTCACCCATGTTCCAATGATCAGATTCTCAGGGTATAGATCCTCGACGGCTTGGTAATCATCAAGAAACCTCAAAGCACGAGCTATTGTTGAATCCTTCTTTGCCATGGTCTGCCTCAAAGCCTTTGTGTGGCAACCTTAAAGCCCTAAACCCCAAACTCTAAACCCTAATGCCAAGACCCCAAATTGTCCGCCACAAACCCTATGAACCCCAGCCGTAATCCGGGATTCCGGCTGCAGCCGCGGGCTTTGCTTTGTGGCTTCGAGCTGCACGCTTCGTGAAGCAGGCGGGGAGCAGCCCACGATCATGGTTCGGAGTTCATTATAACCATTTGGGAGTTTCCAAAAATGGGGGGACCCTAATGTAGTACCCTAAATAGTAGGATCCTTATTATAAGGACCCCTCAAATAAGGTACCTTAATTTTCGGAAATTCCCATTTGGGGTTCAGGGTTTAGGACTTGGGTTTGAGGATGTAGTCGTTACAACTATTTGGGGTTTTAAGGTTTTGGATTTGGGGTTGAGGTTGTAGTAGCTGGCTATACGTGATGATGCCTCTGTTGCTCTGCATAGTGCTGTGAGGACCAGTGTTTTGTCTGGTTGTACTGACATCATTGGTAGTTCTCGTGCCGGTCGGAAGCAGTAGAAGTACTGTAGTATTAAAGGGTCCTTAATAATTACCTATAGTGTTTTGGGGGGCTCCTCGTTAGAATTATGGTAGAATGGGCCCCGAAACCCTATTCTAACTAAATATGAAGGCCCCGGCATTACCATTGCTCGTCGATCCCGTAGCAGCAGAAGCTGCGGCCCCCTGGGTTGAGGTGGACCCAAACCCTAGACTTGGCCCTCAAGCCTATCGGAGGTAGGATTAGGGGGACCCTGCTTGGGGGGTCTTTAGGGGACTTAGTAAGGGCTCCTTTAAAGGGGATTCTAAGGGTTCCTTTAAAGGGCTTATCTGTAAACCTACAAGCCCTGTAATGTACCCCATGAGCCCCCAACCCTTTCCCCCCTAAACCCCAAAACCCCGATAGGTTGGGGTATTCCTAATCTGTCGCTTTTAATCGTAATCGCTACCCTGTAATTTCACCCCATCGCACCCCTAAACCTCGATGGGAACCCTAAACTCCTAAACCCTTAAATCCTAAACCCTGAAACCCTAAACCACCAGACCCCGATAGGAACCCCAAAACCCCAAACTCAAATCCTTTAAGCAAGGCATCTCCCAAAGATTTCCCAACTTGTCGCAGGATGCTCTCTAAACCCTAAAACCCCATGAATTCTAACCCTTAAACACAAGCCTAAACCCTAAACCCCATGAGCGATAAGAGCCCTAAACCCTTGTCGCAGGATGCTGTCCAGAATCCCAGGAGCACGCCTGGGGAGGCCCGGGACTCGACCTTCGCTCCCGTGGAGGTTTACTTGGGTTTAGGGTTTTTTGCTTTCACCTACGTTTTCTGTAGGGTCCCTATAATGTCCATATGAGGGTCATAGTAAGAACCTACAGAAAAGTTGGTATTGGTAGGTGAAGGCAGGGTTATAGGGTTTAGTAGTCTAGGGCTGTAGGGTTAGAGGGTTTATTGGGTTTAGGGTTCGAGGGCTTGTAGGGTTTAGGGTTTATAGGGTCTGTTCCAAATCACTGCAACAGGCCTAGTAGTAGTAGTAGTAGTAGTAGTAGTAGTAGTAGTAGTAGTAGTAGTAGTAGTAGTAGTAGTAGTAGTAGTAGCAGCAGCAGCAGGAGTAGTAGTAGTAGTAGTTTTTGCAGCAGCAGCAGCAGCAGCAGCAGGAGTAGTAGTAGTAGTAGTAGTAGTAGTAGTAGTAGTAGTAGCAGTAGTAGTCGTAGTAGTACTAGAAGAAGTAGGTGGTAATGTGTGAGCCCTTATCGAATTGGCAAGGGTAACCTTCCAGCTCCCCTCAAAAGATGGGCAAGTAAGACGGTACTTGCATTCGGCTGGTCCTGTTTTCCGTTAAGATGAACACCCGAACCCTATTCTACTTATTTAGGCCCCTATATGATAACATGAAAGTTTTGTTCTTAGGTCAGGGGCTTGGGGGCCTGTGAAGGCTGAGCGTTCAGGGTTTGGGCTTGGAGGGTTTGGTGTTAGGGTTTCAGGCTTAATTAGGGTGCAGAGTTTAGGGTTTGGGATTTAGCTGAGTGCTCAGAATGGGGCGGGGGTCTTTTAGGTCCGGGGTTTGAGTGGTTTGACGAGAGATGCTTGGGGTTAGGGCAAAGGGATTGGAGTTTAGGGTTAGGAATTGGAGAGTCCTTCTTGAAGAGAGGTTCCGCTGGCGAGCCAGGAGGGTTCGAGATTATTAAGAGCATTTATAGACTCCATACTGAACTTTGGGTAGTTTCTGCTCTTTTGGCACGGACAGGCCCTGCCACAGGACCCGAACTGAAATCTTACCTGAAGTGATTGAGGTATCTTGAACGGCAAGGAATCACCCAAGCATGACAGTGACAGGTATTGTTGTATCCTCAACCGAATTTTTGTGTCACCCCTGTCTAATAACTTAAGAGACCCATAAGGCCCATAAGCTTCGTTGCTGCAGGTCATGGATCACAGCCCGAGCCTTGCAAAAAGGGTTCAGGCATCTGTGCTGGTTGGTATGCTTTAGGGTTAAGGGATTCAGCGCGACACAGCCCAAATTGCCAGGGACCACCTATAGGGCTTGCGAGGTCCCATTTAGGCTAAGGTGCGTGCTTCGATTGGCATAGTTGTATGTGTCTACTATAGAGGCCTAAATAAATATCTATACTATAGTGGGGGTTCCTTGTTATAATTACAGTATAATGGGCCCCAAAACCCTATTCTAATTATTAAGGCCCTTATATTACCTCTGGATGCCCGGCCCTCGGGTTTGTAGTTCTTAGAAGGGGGATGGCATACTCGGCCCGTAGCTTCTGCATCTTACTACTGTAAGGGCCTCCGAACGTTGTACTATACTAAGCTCTCTGGCGCCGACACGCTCGTATGCAGATCCCTTGCATCATGAGCAAGAGTACATTACATCTACACTATATATATATATATGTATATATGTATGTATGTATGTATGTATGTATGTATGTATACATGGATAGATAAAGGCACACATGTATGTACGAGAAAAACAAACAGTACATATTTGTGTGTGTATATATATATAGTCTGTAACAAAACATACTACAAGTATGGAATCACTTCCCGAAACCATGTTTGGCCCTTGTCTTGTCTCTGAGGAAACCATAAAATAATGACAACATTGTTGGACTTCCTGGGGTAGATCCTGCGCTCAGAGGTTGTCGGTAGGCTTTGGCTTCAGGTTTCAAGCCTGGACTTTGTTTAGGGCCCCTCAATCCCTCAAAGTAACCCACATGTACAGAACCCTTCGTGGTGACACCGAAACCCAAACAGAAGGCTTCGAGGAACCTGTGAAAGGAAAGCCAAAGCTACCCCCGAGATCCGCTTCAATACATAAAACTTAGCACATCTTATCTTTGTCATAGTTGGGTAACATTTTACATTTTTATGGGTATCTAAACCCAATAAGGAATAACAATGATCATTTTTAATCCTATCCCAACAATGAACTAGTTATAAAACCCGATGAAACCCGTAGAACAAAAGCAATGAAGCCGTAAACTACCGACACCGTGATATCCATGCAAAATCCCATAAGACTTGAACCTCAAAGTAACCGAAGCCCTGACCCCTTGAAAACCTCGAAACACTACATTCCCACAAACGTTTCTGTTGCCCAAGGGGTCCTACGGACCTTTCTGGTAGAATTTAGGGTTTCTACATCAGGAATTACTAATTAGTATGATTTGGGGAGGTATCCCCCACAACAGAACCTAGGACCCCTTGGGTTAGCATCCTACGAAGAGCCCTCCCCTCCGAGGCGGTTGGAAGGTCGCAGCGCGCTTTGGCCAGCGACACCCAGGCCAAGGGGGCCTTCATAAACCGAATAAGAATACTGGGTTCTTGTTAAGGGGTTCAATTTGACCTACCACAGTAAGGAAGCTACGATTTACTTTAGATCCCTATTATGGTAACTTCATCTGAATCTAAATTCCTTAGCAAGAACCCAGAATACGATCCTATAGAGTGCTAACCTAGCATCTTCTGATAGTGCTACCATACTTCCCTTCCTGCCTAAACTCTAAACCCTTATAGAGATAACATAGGTCCCTGGAGCGTCGGAGCCAGGAGCTGGTCCTGATGGAGCCCCTCCGTGAGAAGGGCGTGGCCTTGTCATGGCCCCAGACTTCAGAATGTGACTTCATATAGGGGCCTGAAAAAATTTAGAGTAAGGTGCCCCTATTAATTAAAGGGTCTCTATATGTGTGTATATATATATATATGGGCTACTCTAAGGGATCGGATCTATAGTGGCCTTGTCATGGCCCCAGACTTCATAATGTTACTTAATATAAGTTCGTAAGTAGTTAGTAAGTAGACCTATAAGTACCCTAAAAGGGACCCTAATTGGGGGTTATGGTACTTATAAGTCCCTAAAATAACCAGTTACTATGTCCCCTAAAGACCCTCCAAGTAGGGTTTCGTAGGATTCAGAATCTTAGGGCCCCAAGGCAAAGAACCGACCGGCGTGAAGGGGTTTAGGGTTTAGGGTTTAGGGGTTTAGGGGTTTAGGGTTTAGGGGTTTAGGGTTTAGGGTTTAGGGCTTCCCTTTGCTTTGTCATTGTTTTGGTACAGTTGGGTTTTATGGGCGAGTCGGTCGGAAACAGCTCCATCTTAGGATGCTCCCAGTGGGTAGTTCTTAGGGGTTCGGCTTGGGCATGTGCCGGACCTCAAACAACCTGCCTCTTGCTCCGGGTAGAATTCTTCGAACAGAAAGGTCATGTGGGATTGAGGCTGATTAAGGCAGGTTTGCGTGCAGTTTAGGGTGTAAGTTCAGGTCTGCGGGTCTTAAAATCTCAGGTTCAGGATTACGGGCTTGAAGGCTTAGCGTTTAGGTTTTCGAGTCTACGGGTGTGCCGCTTCTGGGTTGTCAGGGATCGAGGGGGAGTAAAATGTGAACGGCTGCTAAATCCTTTGTTGTCATCCCTAAACCCTAAGCCTTATCTCAAAAAATGTAGGTCATTTGGGGTGCGTAGATAATTACCTACACTTTTACACGCCGTTATGGGGTGTTCCTTATTATGATTATAGTATAATAGATTAAGGTCCCGACATCCTTTACTGATGCAGTCCTGCAGCCCTAACGGTCCATGTACCCAAAAATTATATACATGGGCCCTAGGTACCTCTATAAGGGAATACTTTGGGACATGGACCCTTAGGGCAAGCCAAATTTGGCCCTCGGGCCATACCTAATCTCCGGCAGGCCCGAAATCCCGACAAGACAGACATGGTACTCTCAAACCCCAAACCCGGTTGAAACCTCATCTTTCAAGCTCGAAGAGTCCCTCAACTAAGTCAAAAACCATTGCCCCACAACTATTTTCAAGCCTTTAGGCATCTTCAAGTCATAAACCCCTTCCTCAGGCTCACCCAAAGATCTTTAAGCATTTAAGTCATAAGCCCTTCCACCCTAAGCCCTGAATCCCTTCCTCAGGCTCACCCTGAATCGACCGAAAGCCCTCAACGCGCTCTCCGACGGCCTCATGCGTGCTCTAGCAGAGAAGCTCCAGCAGGATCCACCGAAGATGCAGCTGTTTTTTTTGTCTACTCTGCGTCGCAAGAGGGGTGAAGTGCGAAGAACAGTTCATGCATGCATGCATGCATGTATAAATGTACGTATGTATGTACAGAACACACATACTTATCACCGCTTGCAAGCATTATCAACCAACCGATGCATGAAGACGATCTATATGGTGCTTATCCATTGACCTCCTTGTTACTGGTGCGTCTCGTCTCAGTCTCGCAAACACGACAACACCAGAAGCAGCAGAAGCAGCGCCAGCACCAGCAGCAACAACAGCAGCAAGCTCGACAATGTCTTCAAACTCCAAACCAAAAGCCCCTCAGTAACCCTTTAAGTACCCGTATATCGTAGCCTCTTATATCATAACACTTAAAAAAAGCTCAGAACAAAAAGCTTTAAATCAATAGAAGCCATAAGCAACCCCTCTCAAACCAACAAGATCCTTGTCGTAACCTTAAGAGAACCCTTGTCTTTTTGGTACCCTCGGAAATCTTATCGAACAAAAAGTTCTTGTCGTAACCTTATTAGAACCCTTGTGATTATGGTACCCTGATAAACACCTGGAAACCTTGTGAAGCACTTTCACCTGGCAGGTCGACGGCGATTCGACGCTTCGGGTGCAGGGCCCAGGTTTGTCAAAGAGTTCGGACCTCTGTCTATGGATTAGAAGGGGCCCCCACCCTGTAATAGTGACTATAAGGATTATATTAGGGCCCTATTATCTATTATATTCCTATTATACCACTATTACAGGGTGGGGGCCCCTTCTAATCTATGGATCTGCAAGGTTTGGGGTTTAGTGTCTTCAGCAGCTGCTCAAGAGACTCGGGCAGTTGTGATGAGGACAAGGTAAACAGCAACTTTGGCGCCCCCCCCCCCTCCCCCCCAACTCTAAACCGCTACACCATAAACCCCAAAACCCTGGCCCGAAACCTTATTCCCTCAACCCTAGTCCCCAAAACCCCTCAGCCTTAATCCCCAAACCCCAGAGCCCAAATCCAGGCAGCTGTAGTCACCGGCACGGGCAAAGCCTTCGCTGCCGGCGCAGACATCAAGGAGCCGCTGCGCCACTTTCGGGAGACTTGAGGGGTCCATAAAAAGCCGTGTTTTTTACAGGCTCCATAAAGAGCCCTTATCCCAGAGGCTCCAGAATTAGATGCGACCATGATGCAATTAGGTGCCAAAAGACTATCCTTATTAGGGTTTTAAGCGCCATCATGGTCGTATTTATGCAGCCTTTCTGGTATGAAACCCTTGGGGGCTATGTTGCGGGTCTTGAACGGTTATGTGATTGAGCACCGAAGCAAGCAAGCCCGTTGCACCCTGCATTGCCAGCTTCGGTTCCATGAGTAAGGATCAACAATACACCCTACCAGGACCCTCCATGTACCCTCAAATAGGGGTATATGGTCCCACGTACTGGGAGGGTCGTATAGAGGGGAGATCCAGGGTCTGTACACCCTAAGCCCCTTAAACGGAGCCCTACTATAGAACCTTATACTACCCTTAAAGGGAGCCTTATACTCGTGATTGTATCAGTTGTCCACACAAACCTCTGCGGCAAGTTCTGCTCGAAAGCAGGTGTCGTCTGCTCGCTCCAAAGAAAGTTTCGTGTTCGCTTGGGGGGGGGAGGGGAGTAGAGCGTACGGCATATTAGGATGTCCTTAAGGGGGGGTGGTCCAAGGGGGGTAGGTAACCTAGTAATCCCCATTATTCCCCAATACTCCCTAAGCTTCCCCAAGGTTCCCCAAAGCTCCCTAGTACCCTCCCCCCTTGAACCACACCCCCTTAAGGATCCTAGACTTAGGGCCTTCAGGGCTCAGGCTTAGTGTTTGGAGCTGAGATTTCGCGTTTCAGGGCTTCAGGGCTTCGTAGGGATGACAGCTTGAGGGTAGAATTTCCGAGCTCTGGAACACAATCTTGAAGGCAATCTTCGATATAGGTTCCAGCCCACCCTACCGACGCTTCTCTCGAGACGCTAGGCCCCACACCCTTGAACACTTTACCACAAACCCGGAAGCCCAAGTCTCAAGCCCCTAAGCTTCCAACCCCAAGGCCCCGAAACCCTCAACCCCAAAAAGCATGCATGGTCGGGCGATCCTGAGTGTGCTCTGCCTTGCGGTGGTGACATGGGGCATTCGTGATGCCCGGCACGAAGCCTGGCGACAATTTACTCCGAGGAGCTTGTTTGTTGTTTTTCTTGGGGAGTAGTTGAAGGTGTTCTTCGTGAGGTTTTAGGGGTCACGGGTTAATGGTTCCAGCTGACAGGGCGATAGGCTTTACCCATAGGCCCCAAAGTAGTTCCTTTTGAGGGTTCATATATAGAATCCTTTCGGGTAGTCCCCCCAAAAAAACCTACTTTGGGGCCTTTGGGTATCCAGGCTACTCAGGCTTTTGGTGTAGGCTTCCTGGGCTCTTATTCTTGCAGCCCTAAACCCTAAACCCCTAAACCCTAAACCCTGACACCCTTAAATTCTTGCATCTGGTGGTGGAGGAAGTCGATGTGCTGGTCCGTAACACCCCCCGTGAAAAAAACGCTTCGTGCCAGTGGAGCCCAGAGCTGAACCCAGAGATCCCCAATACCCCCTTAATTAAAGAGTATACCTTAGGGTTCCTTAAAGGGATCTATAGGGCTCCTTTAAGGGATCTATAGGATTTAGGGGATTCTAGAGTCCCTTAATTAAGGAGTATACCTTAAATGATCATATGAAGGCCCCCTATAGTTTCAGGTATATTCCTTAATGAAGGGTCATTGGGTTCTCTGGGAAGTCACCGCATCAGTGAAAGACTCAAGACCTGGTGTATGAGACTTGGGCCCTCATGGGCAAGTGTCGGACACAGCTTTACTACTAAACGCAATCGAGCATAGGTAGTAGGTGCCAGGATCCCAAAGAGCAAATCAAGATGTACTCAGTGTACTCCTGGCAGAAGGCTCCAGCACCGAAACTGCCGAAGGCAGAATGTGCTGTTTAGAGTTCTGGGTTTTTGGAAGAATCCAAGCCTCCTGCGACTTCGGGTACAGCCTGAAAAGTTGATTTGAGCTGTAGGGTTTGGATTGATCAGGGTTCAGCCCCCAAAGGACCCTAAACCCTAAACCCTAGCCCAAAGGCTCCATGTACCCAGAAAGTAGGTACTGAGGCCTTAAAGTGCCCCTATAGGGACCCCTTTAAGGCCTAAGTACCTACTATATAGGCACATGGAGTCTTAGGGTAGTTGATCCCCTTCCCCAAGTACTCTAGTGTCGTTGCCCCGCGCAGAGCCCTCATCTAGAACAAGCGCCGCGCCACGCAAAGCCGCAAAGCCGCGGAGAAATCCAGCCGAAAACCCTAAAGCCTCAAGCCCCGAAACCACTAAACTAACCCCTAATTCCCTAAACCCCTCGACCCCTAAACCTTCGAAAAAACCCTAATCCCTAAACCCCAAGCCGAATCGTTACAGCTTGAGGATGCCAACCTTAGCGACCTGCTGGTATTGGAGGGTTGGTTGCAGCAGCCTCTGTTGGTGCAACTGGACAGACTTGGATTTCTGAATGCACTAAATCAGCACTTCTAATCTACATAGTGTCTATATATACATGTATGTGTGTGTATTATACACATACACACGTACATACTTACATACATACTTACATACATACATATATATATATATATATGCACATACACATATTCTAGCGAGCTCTTTGCGTGACATGGTTGGAGAGCTTGCAGGGGTTCATGGAGTTCGCTGGCACCCCCAGGTACTTCATCAACACGGACTCTAGTACTGCCCGCCGTGCTCACATTGAGCAGCAAGCGAAAGATCTGGGGCTGCCGCTACAGCGCTTCAGGAGATCCGTGGTGTGTTCGTGGGTATGTGTGTGTGTGTGTGTGTCTGTGTGTTCTTAAGTCTGTGATCAGGGGTTGGAGTTTTGGGCTTTGGGTCAGCAGGGTCCTCAGCAGGGCGTTCGTTTGGAGCGTGGCCAGCAATTCGTATGCATGCAAGGGCTCCTTTATGGTCGCACCTGGGTTTACAGGTCCTTGGGGCCGTCCGACATGTTCACCTTAAGTGTACATGTGGCGATGTATTGTAAAACATACTTCAACTCTAGAGACACCATCTTGTAGGGATCCCTATAAGACCTAATTCCAAATTGTAGGTGCCTAGATTTCTTGGTGGCACCCAAACCCAACTCCGCATTGGCTACTGCTACCACCCTCCACATTCAAGTACGATATTCAACACGCCCAAAGACAGAGAAAAACCTCAGACCGCGGAACGCAGTAGAGATGGAAATGCTGGGCTACGCACGCTCGAAAGGCTGTGTTCCTTCTGGTGCTATACGGAAGTTTCCGAAGATTAGGGGTACCTCATTTGGGGGGGGTGCTTATAATAGGGATCCTACTAAATAGGGTACTGTATTAGGGTCCCCTATTTTCGGAAACCCCATGCATCTCTGAAACCGTCGGAGGGCGATCGACACCACGGACATCGCCTCCGGACGCTTCGATGCTGCCTACGTCTCACGACAGGGGCTAGATCCTCTCTTGCTTCCCGGCCCAAATCAAAGAGGAAGAGGAGGGACCCTTAATGGGGACCCCTACCCTATAATGGGCTATATACTGGGTATATAATAGCTATATACTATTTAATAGTATATAGCTATGTGCCAAGGGGTCCTTATTAAGGGTCCCTCCTTTTTCCCTTGGCCAAAAGGCAACCGCATTTGGGGTTTGTCTCTCAAGGCCATCTTCAAGCCCCCTCCCTCAACAACGCACACACGGAAGCGTGAGAATCACAGTTTAGAGTTTAGGGTGTAGGGTTTAGGGTTTAGGGGTTAGGGTTTAGGGGTTTAGGGTTTAGGGAGTTTAGGGTTTAGGGGTCTTCCTGAATCTTTCTGATTGTTGTGCAATCTTCGTACAAAGGCCACACCTACGATCAGTAGATGTGCAGAATCCTTACTGGCCCTTCTCCTAATCTTGCTAGCCTCAATCTAGCTTGAAACCCAGAAGCCCTCAACCCTAAACCCTAACCCAGACGGTTCTGTTTTGAGACCCAGGCTCTCTTCAGGACCGGATCGTTCCATCAACGGTACAGTTGCCTGCTTCCCGGCAAGGATTCAGGAATGTTTGGGTCAGGGCTTTCATCGCAGGTTTAGTCCGCCATAGAGATCGAAGTGGGGATAAGATGTCAAGCCTAGTAGTAGAGTAGGCAACCTTTAACCTCTTCTGGGTAGTATAGTCCCTATATAATCCCTATGTAACCAAAAAGGTTAACCTTTAGTTCCCCATGATACCCAACAAGTAGGTAAGGGTTCGACCACCCGGCCGGAGGCTTTGCCAAACACGACTCAGAAGTCTAGAAGTCTATAAAGCCTAAGCCCCCAAACCAGGCATCCCAAGCCCTAAGCCGGGTTCCTTAAAAGGGATACTGCAAGGTTCTTATCAGGGATTTCGAGATTTAGGGGCCTAAATGATTACCACTACTATTTTTGGGGGTTCCTTATTATAGTTATAGTATAATGGGCGCCAAAAAACCTGTTCTAATTATTCAGGTCCCATAGTACCCCCCCAAACCAGGCTTCGTGAGCCATGCGAGCTTGATGGAGCAGATTGCTCGGAACTACTCCGAAGACCGCTGCTTGGCCCAACAGCTTCAAGGTATCAGGATTTAGGTTTAGGCTGACATCAAAGGGGAAAAGGAGGGACCCTTAATGGGGACCCCTACCCTATAATGGGCTGTATAATGGGTATATAATAGCCATATTAAGGGTATATACCTAAGACCTAGGGGTCCTTATCAAGGGTCCCTCCTTTTACCCTTGGATGACAGTATACAAACTCCGGGAGTTACGGCTTTCGATGGGCTTCTGGCTCTTGCGTTTTGGTGGCATAAGAAAGGTTCTTAAACAAATGAACAATCAAGGGTTCCTTTAAGGGACCTACAGGGGACCTATAAGGCTTCTATAAGGGTTAAGGTTTAGGCTTGAGGGTAAAAGCGGGTCTTAAATAACTACCAAGACTATTTGGGGGGTTCCTTCTCGTAGTTAAAGTATACTAGACCCCCAAAACCCTATTCTAGTTATTAAGGGCCCTATAGTCAGGCTTTAGTGTTTTGCTCTGCCTGTACTTTTCTTCCAGCACATTGGGCTGCACCTGCACGGGCTGGTGCTCTACTTACTTGCAGCTAAACTAGAACCGGTGCTAGATCCAAGACAGCCTGTTAAAAGACACAGCTTAGCAGTCTTCCGCCCTTGCTACCTTCCTCCCAAAACAATACCCAAACCCCTGCAAACGACATGCCTCTGAGACCTGACAGCCTAAATTGTAGGATCCTTATTATAAGGACCCCCCCCCCCAAAAAAAAAAAAAAATAAGGTACTCCTATTTTCGGAAACTCCCATCTTACAGCGGGCCCAAGGTGTCGCACTGATTTTAGAGGATGATGTGCTCTTGCCCACCGACTTGCTTCGAAGGCGCTCACTCCAGTGGGAAATAGCGGGGTTAAGGATTTAGGGTCAGTGTCAAGGATGCATGTGCCCCAGAAATCCTTCCAGGGGTGCCTTATTGGTTTGAGAAGGGTTGTATCGGCTTTAGCAGGATTATATCACAGGTTTACGGGGTTTGCGAGGTAGATAAACTTTGTCCTTTCTTGGGATCAGAGTTTACGAAGATCCTATTGCGAACATGGTCAGGACAGGGCCCACCGTGATCACTATCCTAGGCTCGTTTTGGGGTTTCGGGCGGATGGGGTTTCAGAGTTTGGGCTTTACCCAGAGGGTTCAGGGTTAGGCTTTTATGATAAAGGCTGGTAGGGTTGAAGGCCTAGGGCTCAGGGTACCGGGACTGCAGAAAAACGCAGTCTTGGATAGGACTCGTGCAGCATGCGCCCTGAATCCCAAACAAGCTTCTAGCTCGGAGGGCTTGAGGTTGAAGCCATGATGGGGGGGGGGGCCCTTGGCCAAACCCTGAACTCCCAAGCTTTTTCCCCCCTTGTCACCTTTAGTCACCTGTGCCATAAAGGTTGTTCGGCCGTTTCTCCCTGATCAAGCAAGCTTGCGTAAGGAGATTGCCATGAAATTACCCAAAGCCCCCAACATAGTTCCTTTTTGGGGTTCGTATATAGAATCCTATAGGGTAATCCCCAAAGGAAACTACTTCGGGGCCTCTGGGTAAGAAAGCGGAGCTCAGTTCAAGGCGATGGATGCATTTGCAGTCTGCAGGGTTTCGGCGACATTTAGCAAACCAGACACTGACTTAGAATTCCACAAGCTCCCCCTTAATCGGGTTTAGGGTTTTTGGAAGCTACCCCTTTACTCCTAAACCCGAAACCCTAGACCCTAAAACCAATAGCATGCAACCCTTTGCAGGGTTCGCCATGTGCTTGAATGCGCCCCTTCCGACTGGTCACTGCTGAAGGCCCTGCAGTACTCTAGAAGCCTAAACAGCTACCAAGATTCTTCCTTCGGGTTCCTTAACACTTATAGTATAATTGCCTTTCTTCTTCCTTGGGGTTCCTTCTTCTAGTTATAGTATGAAGAAGACCAAAACCCTATTCTAAGTATTAAGGCCCCTCTAGCAAGGGTTTCAGATTCTCCCCAATTCCATTCTTCAGCATACTCCCCGGGTCTCTGCTGAGCTGAAAGGGCTTTAGAGTTTGGCGCAGACCGCTTATATCTGAGATCCACAAAACCTCAAAACTGAAATGATAAAAGGATGGACCCTTGACAAGGACCCCTGGGTATATACCCTTAATATAGCCATTATATATATATATATATACCCATTATATAGCCCACTATAGAGTCGGGGTCCCCATTAAGGGTCCCTCCTTTTCCCCTTTGAAAAGCTGAAAACCCCAAACCACCAAACCTCGGATCGACACTTCTGGGACATTCCGCCCCTAAATCCCTTAAGGTAGAAGCCAGAAAGTTGGAATATGGTTTCAGGGTAGGATACCATATAATTTATCATAAAGGGTTAAGGATAATCATATTCCAACTTTCTGGCTTTTACTTTCACCTCAAGCCACCTAAACCCCTAAACCCAAACCCCGTTGAAACCTTTAAACACCTAAACCCATACCCCTGAAACGTTCGGACTTGTAAACCGTAGCCCCCTGGAACTTTTAAAACCCCCGAACGCTAACCCCCAAAGCCCTTAAAACCCTAAGCCCCTAAACCCCTAAACCTTAACCCCCTTAAGCCCTTCAATCCCCTAAACCTTTCTAAACCCTCAACTTCGAAGTTGCACGGCCACGAAACCCTCCGTCCACTTTTTTTTTGCGATTTAGATGGAAAGGGGGAGGTTTAGGGTTTGGGGCATACAGGGTGTAGTTGTTTGGGGTGCCGGGTGAAGGGCCGGATATCGGCTACTGGAAGTTGTCCTTGAAACATAGGGGTCCTTACTACAATAATATTACCGCTATATGCGATTCCCATTAATGTAGGAACCCAAAATATAGGGTTCATATAAGGAAGCCTAATGAAGACCCAGGGTTTCTTAATCAGGTTCCTATATGAGTAAGGTGCTCATACCGACCGCCTCTTGTCACAGGCGTCAATCTTTGCTCTGAGGTTGAAAGTCAATCTGGATATTATACCTGTAGCCGAGAAGACTTACCTTTTTAGGGTTCCTTCTTATGGTATATTTATATATATATATATATATATACATGTATGTATAGTTCCTCGAAACCACAGGCTCTTCTCATAAAAGCCTTATGCCCTAGATTGACGCTTTAGGAGTAGTGTTCAGAGCTCTGTCAGCGTGGAAGAAGTGCTCCACGCAAGTGCTGTACTTCCCAGATCGGATGCCGAATCCCGAATGTCTAGTCATTTGTCTATACGCAGCAAGATTAAAAAAGCAACGCGTAAGTCGCAGTGCCGTTTACTTTGGCCCACGAAGCTTAGCCCCAGTTGCTGTTAGGACGATGTGGGAGTTTCCGAAAATTCGGGGTGCCTCATTTTGGGGTCCTTATATAGTAAGGATCTTATTATCTAGGGTGCTATATTAGGGTCCCCTATTTTCGGAAACTCCCATGTTGCAAGCCACACAGCTTCAATCTCAAATCCGGTGGTCGTGTTCCAGGTTTCCTCCTGGGGAGCGATGCGACAGTCGAACTCTGTCAGGCAGGGCGACTTGGGGTTTAGGGTTTACCTTAAGCCGGAATAACCTACCTTTTTAGGGTTCCTTATTTTGATTTCATTATATAAGTTCTTAAAAAGGTAGGTTATTCCGGCTTAAGGTAGGGTTTAGGGTTGCAATTGTGTTAGGCACTCCCTGGTTTTCACCATCAGTGCCTGTATTTCGCAAAAAAAAATCTGCAAGGACTGCTCTTTCAACCTCTGGATGCCGCAGCTGTTTTGCTGCTGATGACGATGATGATGATGATGGCTTCCGTGGCGACGACATGGAGGGCGTTTTATGTCGTTCAGTACCAAGGGTGGCGGTGTTAAACAACTCTAATTTCGGATCTGGGGTCGTAGTTCGTAGTTGTAGTCTCTACACTCAGCTTCCTAAATGGGGGTTGCCGAAATAGGGGACCCTGATATAGTACCCTAAGTAGTAGGATTCTTATTATAGGGACCCCCGAATAAGGTACCCCAAATTTTCGGAAGCTCCCAAATCGTATAGACGGTTTACAGTCAACAGTAGGGCCTAGGAAGTACTTAAATTGTGGTCCCAGTCCAGGTCCTTACCGAACAGCCGTGGCCTTCGGGATTCGTTATGGTTTGGTAGTAGCGACCCTCAACCGCTAAACCCCTAAAGTCTTTTAAGTAGTGCTGGTAGTATCTGAAGTCCTCAACCCAAAGCACGAAGCTCCGCTCCCCTTCCGGCTTCAAGTTCTTCAGACCTGTGGTGATCTGTGCTTCCGCTTCGATTGGTTCATGCGTAGATATATGCAGGCAAAGATACAAGGAAACCTAGCTGTAGCTAAGCAGTTAGTATAGCATAGCCTGCGACATGGGTGCATAACTACCCGGTTGATTCAGCTCTAACTTCTAAACCTCGAAACCGTAATTCGAATTCTAAGGCACACCAAGTCATAAGCGCTACGACCCCTCATAGCCTTCCGCTATGGCTGTTGAGCACTTATATGCCCCCTAAATGACCCAAAGACTCAAAACCTTAAGAAACCTTGAGAAACCCAAACCCTAAACCCTAAACCCCTAAACCCTAAACCCCTAAACCCTAAACCCCTAAACCCTAAACCCTAAACCCCAAACCCTAACACACCCAAAAGTCGGCTTTGGGGTGGGTCGGGCTTCAGGCCTGAAGGTGAGGGGGTTGGGGGCTTAGGGTTTGGGGTTTAGGGTTTGGAGTTTAGGGATATTGGGGTTTAGGGTTTAGGAACTCTGAAGCATCAGGCCGAAACATGCAGTGTACCAGAATCCCCCTAACTCACTGCAGCCTAAATCCCTACGCCTTAAACCCAAAGCCTAAACCCCAAAAGGGCCAAACTTCACAGCCTGAAACCGGACCTGTAAACCTCAGAGCCAACGTGCCCGCAAGGAAGGTAAAGGTTTAAAGTTTTGGGTCTGGGGGATTTCTGTGAACCGGAGAGCCAACCACGAATTTTGTCTTGCAGGCCGCTGCGAACACTCTGGCAGGCCACTTGTATGAAGCCAGTTGACGGTTCATGGATGCCGATTTGGGTCGACCCTAGAGGTACCTTGTAATTAAGAGTAGCTTGTAATTAAGACCCATATTAAACAACACAAGGCCCTAAATTCAAGCTCTTGTCAAGCCCCATGCATTCTGAAACGACGTGGCTGGAATTTCCTGCAGAGCCCATGGAAAGCCTTGTGGAACCGCATATTCTGGGTATTTCGGCAACTGACAGCTGCGTTGTCGGAGCACTAGTGAGGAGGCAGTTTGGCTTAATGTATGGCCTTCGTTGTTACTATGCTATATTGGGGTTGTTTATTGTATATAGTACCCCTCAACACCCCATTCTATTTTTTTTGAGGCCCCTATATTACCGTGTCACATCAGTCCGGGTCCCTAAAACATCCCAGGCCTAAACTCTGAACCCTAGTCCCGGTACTACCCTAAACCCATGGTGTCCGCTTCCCTGCAAGTCTATTGGCTTCCAGCTCCGCGGCGTGTTGACAATGCTGGACTTTCAGGACGGCAGTCTGGGGGACGTTAAACCATAGCTACGAACTCGAGTTCTTCTACCATATATGTGAACATCTAGACAACTGTGTATATACATATACATATATATATATATATATATAAATACACATGCGGTTTAAATGTGTGTGTGTGTATACATACATACATACATATATATATATATATATATATATATATATGTAGGGATAGATGTTGTCAGTGCTGCAGCTTTATACAGCCGGGCTTGGGAGTGGTCTAGAGTTCAAGTTTCAGCGAGTTTAGAAGTCCAGGGTAGTCTAGGGTTTACAAGCGTTTAGGGTCATTATTCATGTCGGATTTGCGGAGGATTGGCGGGCCGGTAGATGCATACATCGACATGCGCGTGGGTTTGTGTCGATGCCTCACTTTTGGCTCTGTGGATGCTTCGGGTTTAGGGTCCCCACTCATGGTTGCAACATTTTGTGATGTGGTTGCAGACAATCAATATACCTTGAGCCGCACTCTTTGACAAACACCGGGAGCCTCGTGTCATGTTTTCACCGACGGGAATCCGGAGTCTGACAGACCGACACACATACCTACATCTGAACCTGCGTACCTACGTGCCTATCCACCCACCTTCCTGCCGGACCCACCTACCTACCTTCCTACCTCCCCACTTACCTCCCTCCCTCCCATCCACCATCCATCCTTGACTGCTGACCTTCGATCCTCCTCCCCTTTCGAAAGAAGTCTCCTCACTCCTCGCCAACACCTTAGTTTGCAGCTGTCCAGGGCCATGTGACTCTGGACCAGTTCCTTGGTGGCATCGAAGGAACATCTGTAGATGCTCCCAGCATCCTACGTGCTCCAGTAATTAATATTGTCATTATTAGTATGATGATGATATTATTATTTTGTTATTATTATTATTATGACTATTAGTATATATATATATATATATATATATATATGTATATATATATATATGTATATATATATATATATAATATACATACATAAGCCAAGTTAGACTTCGACCTCAAAGGTACGCAGGGATGCCCTGCAAGGCCCAAGTATGTACTCTAAACCCCTTCTGTTTCGTAATCTGAAGCTCTTCTTGTCGTGGCTTGAGCTGTGGGGCCTCTTGCCAATGCCTTAAGCCCACTCCGTGGGGGAGACCCGTATACGGCTTCCTGTCGAAACTTGGGCTGCCGTAATGTGGTGCAGTCCGACAGGACCTTCAGAAAGAGTTCAGGCCTGCAGAGTCTAACCCGCAGGAATTTTGCAGGGATTGACGGTTTGGAAATTAGGGTTGCTTAAGGTTTACAAGTGGTTGTAGTCTGGGGATATTCTGGGTCTGTGCTATGCCCTAAAAGGCTTTGTTTAAATGCCGATATCGTTCCGTTTGCACGCCGAGGTACTGCCCCGATCTGTATCAGATGAGAGAGCCATTCACAGAAGATCCGCCGCCCGTGAGGCACTGCTGGGATTTTCGGGCCTAGGGCCGGGTGTTTGACAAGTCCAATATAGGCATGATTACAATACTATGACTTCTTCATTGTTCAGCACTGAAAGGACTGTACGGGAAGATTAATGCTGCGCTTCCCAGACGCTAGAAGCATCCGGATGCCATGGTTACCTGTGCTGTGACTTAGGGTTTAGGGTGGGCACCATGAGCTCGGGCTTGGTGTGCCGATTTACGCATAATTATCCAATTGCCTGAAGCCAAAGATTTGCAGTTTTGATCGCATTTTGGCGTCGCAAAAAGATCATCGCAGGTCGATGATCCAGTCCTACCCCGACTACTACTATGCGACTCGCCTGCAACAAAGAATGCCAGGTTCAAGGACTCCTTCAGTCTTGCAGGTTGCAGGAATCAGACCTTCACTCGGGTTTTAGGAGGGCCCCCATTGTTCAAGGGTTCTAGTGTTTATGGGTTTCAGTGTTTTGTGAAAGAGTGCTAAGGTCTTATTAGCCATCCCTTAAAGGTAACTCACTCCGACGTGCTCTGAACTTGTGCACATGGGTCACCTGCAGCAGTCTGCGACGCAGATATGACAAAAATGTCGGCTGTCGAAAGCATTTCGATTTTAAGCCTCAATTTAATTGTCAAGGAACCAACCCCTAAACCCCGCCAAAACGTACTAAACTCTAAGCCCTAAACACCTAAATCCTCTTGCTCCTGAGAAATCTTAGGCCGGCACTGGAGCCTATCTCCTCCAGGCACGTCGGCGACGACTTACTGGGGCTTATAGGGTTGAGTGTTTAGGGTTTTTAGGGTTTAGGCTTTAGGGCTTATAGGGTTTAGGGTTTAGGGACTTCGGCCTATGGGGTTTAAGGTGTCGGGCTTTTGTGGGCTTTGCAATGCAAGGGCTTGTAAAACCCGGAGGTCTCCCACTCAAAAAAGTAAAGGGTGTGGTAGCTCTTTTACCTGATTGCCTAAAACCTAAACCAACCCTAAACCCTAAACCCTAAACCCTAAACCGAGGGTTTCCGATGGTTCCGGGTTTTCATGGCTTGGCTAGGGCTGAGAACCCCAGAGCATCTCGAGACTGCAGCGGAAAGGCGTCGTGAACTTCGGCACTTTAAGGCCGAACTACACTTTAGCATCCCTACCTGGGCCCCAAAAGTATGTAGAATAATGGCCTTTTGGAGGTTTTGGGCAAATATTCTGCATATTTTTGGGGGTTTAGGTAGCCTGGAAGTTTTGGGGGACGGGGCCTTCAAGAACAGATGGTGTGAAATGCGGCTCGCTGTGCTCATTCCTAGCTCCGTGGCGCACTTCCAGTGTTAGAGCATTTGCTGGCCAGGTGTCAAAGATTCCTGGTATATTGCGACATCTACAGTCTCAGCCGATCTCTGACGTTGACCACATGACCCCTGGTGGACATATAGCCTTGGGGTTCAAACCTTTAAACCTGCCGAGCAACACCTGGGGACAGACTTCTTTGCGGTCGGAAATCCGGACTACTGCAAAAGTCACCTCACCTTAGAAAAAGATCCTCAATAAACCTGTGCCGCAACATGCCGATCCCAAGCCCGAAAGACTTTCGAGCCGCCCAGCTTACTTGCGCTGTTTGAGTTTTGCTGGGATATCGGGGAAGGGTTGTAAGTTTTAGGGCTCAGAGTTTTTAGGGAGTGGACCAGTGTGCTCAAGGTATCAGGGCGGATGGGGGTTAGGGTACCGGGCAGTAGGTGGGTGTCTCGTTGTACCCTAGAGATCAAAACAGCCCAAAAGCCTTATTTTGTATGTTCTTTGGGCCCAAAAGCCTTAATATATGAGTCCTTAGATGCCTAGGGGTAAGGGTTGTTTCGTTGTTTCCTGCACCCCTGCGGATCTTTAAATAGGAATCCATGCTTCATATGTCTCATCGGTTCTGGCTGTTTGTGGCTGTTGTGGGTAGTATGGTTCTGTCCCATGTAATGTAGATGTTTGAGGGTAGCACAAAGTGCCGTCGAGCTTCTTCATAGAGGGACATACGGGAACCACAATAGTAGGGTATTGTACAGTTCACTATGAGGTTACTGTCAGGTGGTTTCGTTGTCCCACAATTTCGTTCTTCGAACACTGACCCGTACACCTTGAACCTCAAACCCCAAGCAACTATGAACCTACAACTCGCACTACATGTCTAGGAACATATACAAGAAGGACATCTACAAGGAGGCTTTGGGGTTAAGACAGACCCAACGAAGGACGGCCAGACGGAGAAGCGCCCTGCAACAAAAACATGCAAAAACACTCGCACACACAAACAGCAGATGAGGCCCTGGAAGACTATGTGGCTATGAGATCCATGTATACTTACTCACTTATAATTCAAGCACCGAAATTCAATCCCTCAGCCATAAAACCCTAGAAGCCCTAAACCCGATGTGCCAAGGATGCTTCTCGAAGAAGCTGACAGCTCCAGTTTTGGAGGTGCAGGTTTTTAGGGCTTGAAGGGCTTATAGAAATAAGACAAGTTCAGGCTAGGTTTATGAGGCTTGTGGTGGTTGTCTAAGGTTTTGGGGGGTTAACCAGGGTTTGGGGTCCGGGGTTCCGTATCTGAGGGTAAGTCAAGCCAAGGTGCTTGAAAAGCAGGATATAGAGGGCATGTCATACCCTCGTGACCCTTGTGTAAACGGTACATGCATCGCCGATTTGTGTTTTCGCGTGCATGTGGACACTTATTACAAGGTTTGCTCCCAACGATATTTTCACGTAAGGGCACAGTCATCGGCTGGGGAAGGGATTCTTGTTGGAGGCATTCCGCAAGAGATGTGTGCCTTGTTTCACGGCAACTGCAGACTTGCATGAACCAGCCAATGGTGTTTAGGCTGACAGTGAAATCCTTGCATAAGAACCCCATTCCGCGAAAGTAGCCTACCCTGAGGTTCTTAGGTACCATTACCTTTGATTTAGCTGGCTGAGAAGTTAGGGTGGGCTGAGGTTCTTAACAAAGTTCTTACCTAGGCTCCGCATGTACCTTGAGCCGAAATGGCCGCGGTATCGACCCTGACCTACCCTGCTCCCCCGGCAAAACGAATTGGTGTCTGACACTAGTTCGTGTTGCCTTTGCCCACCCTGACCCCAATCCCCACCCCTACCCCTGCCTGCACCATGGGCGAAAACGAAGTAGTGTCTGCCACGAGATCGTTTTTGCCTTGGCCGACCCTTGCCCTCAACCCCGTCCCACCCTTGTGTGCCGCTGCCCCGGGGCAAAAACGAAGTTGTGTCCGACACTAATGCCTTTTTGCCTTTGCCCCCACCCTGCCCCCAACCCCACACGCACCCCTTCCACCCAACAAACTAGGGTACCTGAATTTTGCGAATCTTGCTGGAGTAGGGGCTCAGGTTCTTAAGCAGTGGGTTCTTATATGGGTAGTTGTCAACATTAAGGTCCCTTTTCGGGTACCTTAAATAATTGGTGCCGTAATATAATAGGGACCCAAACTGGACCATAATTTTGACAACCACCCATATAGGACGTTCAATGTACTTGTCCTCAACATCGGTTTCGTGTTTACAAGTGTCTTCGCACCCAGGCCGAAGTTTGTTTTGCGATGGCGTGCTTGACTGGGATGGCATTGGTTCTGGTGCCGCGATATAGGCGACGACGACGACAGTGATGGCGATGATGGTTGTGATGATGATGATGACGACGACGAAATGCTGCTGCGGCTGATGATGACGATGACGGCAGCGAGCATTGCTATGCCATGGCCGCGGGTTTCGACCGTCCTCTTTGGTCAACACTTCAAAAACGGAACAAGCTCCAGACTTTTGCATCATGGTTCTCAAGTCTCAAACTCAGACTGCTACTTCGGAGCACTCAAGCCACAAACCCCAAACCGTAACCCACAAGGCACTATTCCTGAAGCCTGAACCACTAAACCCTAAACCCGGAACGAGCCCGGAAAAGCCAACCAACGAACGAAGGCCTGGCGCAGTGCAGCTACTGCCCCTACCAGATTTGGCCCTACATCATTCAGCTCGGGTGGCGCCACTGGACCCCCCCGGCAGAAGGGTTTAGGATTTAAGGCTTTAGGGTTTATAGGGGTTTAAGATGAGGCTTCAGTGTGTATAGGGGTTTAAGGGACCAGATAGTGTACATGACCGTAGACTCCAGCTGGCATGGCGATCCAGATTTGTGGTGTGGAGTAGTCTTCTTGCTCTTCTACAGTTGTCGGGCTGCAAGCAAACTCCTAGACGTGGACGGCTCTTGCTGTATGGTTGCAGGTGGTCCTAGTAAACGCTAAACTGAGCCGGTGGGCCAGGGCAAGCATGTGGAGCTCAGATGTCGGAGACCCTCTCAAGAAGCGATGCAAGGTCCAGGAGATACTCTCAACCCTGAAGTTGTAAACGCGAACAAGAAACTAAGCCCTAAACCCCAAACCCCACAGCCTAAGTTCCACGTTGCAAGCAGAAAGATCAGCATGAAGCCTCTTATGTGTGTGTGCATGTGAGTATGTATGTTTGTTTGTATGTCAGGACGGATGTACGGAGGAATGGATGGATGCTGGATGGATGGCTAGAGTCCCTGTGTGTGTATATATATATATATATATATGTACTCACATACAGACATGCATACAGACAGAAATAATGGACATGCATCTATATAATTATATATATACACATATAGATAGATATATCATGTCTAAACAATTTCAGAATTGCCACAGCATCTGTAATGCTTAGATACACATTCTGCAACCCTAAACTCAAGATCCGTCTGCTGTGAGGCCCTCCTCTCCACCCTCATACGCCGGAGCGCCGCAAGCCCCACATCCCGTAAGCCATGTAGTCCCTCATCCCATGAGCCATACATGGGGTTTACGGCAGGGACTAGATTAGCGGCTAAGGCCGAACTCGAAATGCCCGAAACTCTGCACATCCGACAGGATTTCCTCTGTTCTACCTCCCTCGCAGGCCTGGGTCCTGTCGGGAGATCTTTGATAGGCTTCCAAGCGGGTGTCGTTTAGGGGTTCAGGGGTTTAGGGTGAAGGGGTTTAGGGT